CGCTTTATCACAACCTAGTTTGTAGGTCCTCTCAAAGCTGTTCACAAATTATTATCCGGGGTTATAGGGCCTTTGCAACCAGCCAATACATTTCTCAACTCCCTGGGGAGCATACAGCCGGAGATGCCATTTCGGCGCTAACAGCTATAGCTAGCATTCAACAATTCTAGCACTGCCCAACCGCATACTCATTTACAGCTGAGTAGACTGGAGCAAGCGGAGTAAAGAATCTTGCTCAAAGATACAACACTTTTCCGTGCCGTGGCACAAACCCGCAGCCCCTTCAGTCACGAGCCTGGTGTCCTACCACTGGACCGAGGACTACCGTGCCTCCATTATACTCTTCAAAAACTAAAAAACTCGTACTTGCATTTGGTTTTTTCATTTCAGATCTCACCTGTTGAATGGTCATCTGATCAATTCAGACTGGAAAACGGGTATTGATGATGTACACATTATACAGTCATAAAGATTTGAGAATTTTCAATGTTTTACAACTGTATTTACAAAGCATAAGTATTGAGTTATTTTGTTTATGCATTAAGTGACTTATTAAAGTTATGATATTTTCTATCAAAATAAAGGGCCATCGGTGGCTGTATTTCACAGCACAAAAAAAAACATGGTTGCCCGGTTTCGGTAGGAGATGGCACACACGGTTATGCAACTGGCATTATTTCTAACTGTTTCTGCCCTACCTGTTCTCATAAGTATCATCATCACACCATCATTTCAAATTCATCAGTATGACATCATTCTGGTCAATGTCATCCATATCTTCACTGCCACATTCAGGATTACCATCATTGAATCCCCATCAATTCCACTACTTGATGACAATGTTTATTTTTATCTCCTGATGTGTGTAATCCTAAATGTGTCAAGTCAACTTCTAAAAGCTGATTTTCAAAAACAGGTGCAAACTGTACCGGGTGCATTGCATCTTTAGGAATCACTGAAGAGAGATACTTGTAACAGGAGGGGAAATATGTACAGCCAGACAGCTGGCAGACCGGGACTTGAACCAGGGAGTGTCTGAACTCTAGACAGATGCTCTAACCAACTGATAAACTACTACCTGGTCGCCCGCGGCAATCCACCAAGTCCAGTCAAATTCAAATGATGTTAATTTCAATGTAACAGAAATTCCTGCATGGTTCAGTTTCCAATTGATATTTCTGGACATCATCTCACATACTGGCAATGGCAACCAAAGAAAATATTTCTTCATTCTGGCAAAACGGCTATTTCACTCTTTGGTGATTATATAATAATAGTTCAAGGTTCTTATATACCGCTTTATCACCACCTAGTTCGAAGGTCCTCTCAAAGCGGTTCACAAATTATTATCCATGGTTATAGGGCCTTTGCAACCAGCCAATATCTTTCTCAACTCCCTGGCCGGTGCTGCTATTTTGGCGCTCACAGCTAGCATTCAATGATTCTAGCACTGCCCAACCACGTACTCATTTACAGCTGAGTAGACTGGAACAAGCGGAGTAAAGTATCTTCTTCAAAGATACAACACAGTGCTGTGCCGTGACTCGAACCTGCAACCCTTCGGTCACGAGTCCGGCGTTCTACCACTGGACTACCGTGCCTCTATATACATATAAATACATAAAACAGTTTGAAAAAGAGGCCCAGAGGGCCTGTATCGCTCACCTGAATATGTTTAGAATAATTGGTATGAAGTAAAGATATAGCACTCCATGGTAGGTGCTGTAAGTACATGTGAAATTTCAGAAAGATCCATACAGTACTTGAGATATAATGAGAACAAACTTCAAACAGAGCCCCATCCATATGCCCCTAGGGGGGGTCATACCCACCATTTATACAAAATTGAGTCCCCTTGGCCAAAGGATGCTCCAGACCAAATAAGGATAAAATCCCTTAATCCCGATGGTCAAAGAAGGATTTTATTATGGTTTTACCTCTATTTCTCCTATTGGGCCCCACCCTTCTGCCCCCTGGGAGACAACACCCACTGCTTATACAAAATATGGTTTTACCTCTATTTCTCCTATTGGGCCCCTACCTTCTGCCCCTGGGAGACAACACCCACTGCTTATACAAAATTGAGTCCCCTTGGCCCAAAGATGCTCCAGACTAAATTAGGATAAAATCCCTTAATTCCTACGGTAGAAGAAGGATTTTAAAGGTTTCACCTCTATTTCCCCTATTGGGCCCCGCCTTCCTGCCTCAAGGGAGGTCAGATACACCGTTTATACACAATTGGTTCCCCTTCACCCAAGGGTGCTTCATACCAAATTTGGACAAAATCCTGTCATTCCTACAAAAGAAGAAGGATTTTAAAGAATAATTTGCTATGTTTCCCCTATTGGGCCCCGGCCCTCAGGCCTCTGAGGGGCCAGACCCACGGTTTATACAAAATTGGTTCCACTTCACCCAAGGATGCTTCAGACCAAATACGGAACAAATCCTTTCATTACTACAGAAGAAGGATTTTAAAGAATTTGCTATATTTCCTCAATTGGGCCCCTCCCCTCGGCCCCCAGGGGGACCAGACCCACCATTTATACAAATTCTGTTCCCCTTCCCCCAAGGATGCTTCTGACCAAATTTGGTCAAAATCTGCTCAGTTGTTCATGACTAGTAGCATTTTAAAGGAAAAGTTGACGGACGGACGACGCGGTATGGCATAAGCTCACCATGGTCCTTCGGACCAGGTGAGCTAATAAAATGTATCATAAAAATGTAAAGTAACAATCAAAACAAAATTTCTTAACCAGGTTTTTGAAGTAAATGAAAGATTTAAATTGCATTTTTTTACAGTTATGGGGGTTATTTGAATGCATCACAGTACAGTTACGTTTGAACACATACACTTTATATCGAAAAATCAGCAGCCATAATAAGGTATTGTTTCTGACCTCTTGTTGAATAGAATAGTATCAGTTTATATACAATTGCTGCAAAAATTTAAAGAGAAATAACGGTCCGAATTAATTATGCAGGTCTCAAAGCTATTATGTATCTTAATTTGTAAGAATTTCTTAAACACCAATGAGTTTGACCTTACATACACAAAACTTCAACAAGGACTTTGAGATTTATACATACCAGTCAATATTATTAGTTATACAGGTCTTTGGCAGGGTACATGGTCTCATGTTCGCTGTCAGGACCTTATGTACCCTGAGCCGAAGGCGAAGGGTACATAAGGTCCTGACAGCGAATATGAGACCATGTACCCTGCCAAAGACCTGTATAACGAATTTGTCATACTGCAAAGCAATGTTCAAGCGTTGTCGTCTTGTAAAGCCTCCCATCCTGTTTCCTTGCACCGAGATAAAAATGACCCAATGCCTCGTCTAATCTTGGCTTCGAGAAGTCCTCAAAATCTGTGTCCTGCTACTTTTCGCTTAAGTCTGCTCTGAAGGTTTTGCTTGCTGAATTGTTATTTTTCTTTATGTTTGTAGGTATAAGTGACGCCCGTTTTGTCTCAATTTCACTCTCCCTGTGGCTTGCAAACCGTTTCGCCATTTTGTTCATTGTTGACATTAGCAGACGAACGTTCTCCGGTGTGTTCGATTCGAATCTGCGAGTTATCTCCCTTACAACAAGCGTGCATGCTCTTATGTACCCCGGCAAGGATACTAACATAGCTTCAGGTACCTTGGCAATTCGACCAATCACCGTGCGACATTTTTCTTTGCAGTATGACAAATAAACATATTCATATTCTATACACTCTGTTTACAAATATATGTACCCACTACCCAGTTATTAGATTGTAGTGAATATAAAACATAAGGATTATAATGCTGTTTAGTCCAACATCTATTTAGTAGGCCTATACAAACAGGTGCAGTCCCCAAGTGCAACAGGACCTCCACATGAAATGTCTGTAAACATTGTAACAGGGAAGAGAATAGTGTGCTTCCACTGGGATCGAACCCTCGATCTCCAGGTTCCTAGTCGGATGCTCTACCACTGAGCTAAAGGGAGATTCCCTCTAGCTTGAAGCTAGAAGGTGACCTTAAACCTATATGTACAATTGAACCCTGCCACAATTTTAAGAGCACAATTTCTCCATTATAATAGAAAAATGTAATCATCCTGAAATAATTTTGAAAACACTAGAAAAAAAATAAAAAATTGATTTTTTTAATTAGGAAATGCTCAATAGCAGAAGATGTTTGTGCCTTAGCCATTTCCTTTCCTCGCCTTGTCACCTCATCTGTGGCTTCTTCTAGGACTCTTACATATTGACGGACTAAAGATGATAGTGATTATAACTTGTGATTACATTAGCCCTGCTTAAAAAGTGGCAAATACTGTATATATGACATTGAAAAATTAACAATTTTGAAATATTGATCAGGCACATAAATAACAATTCATATAAGTCAAAGAAATTGCTTTGTTTTTCGTCTTCATGAATATATAAGATTTGACAATTAATATAGAATAACATAACATTTATAATCAGTTTTCTGTTGTTCAATAATTATTATGTAGTCAGTTCTTATGATCAAGATCAATGTGTTGATTGTGATAGACAGAAGTGTGACTTGACAAACAACTCAATAATGTATTTAGTACTAAATAAAACTGACTAAATAAAAACCACCATTAAAACAATGATTGGTCAATACTGTATGACTTTGTATACAGTAGGCCTATAGGGAATACTTAACAACCTGTCAACCATTGCCGTGACCTGATTTGTGTTTTTCGACATTATCACATAACTTATTCTTGGTTAACGACTTTCCTTTTTAAAATAATATCAGTGTTTGTTTGATATTTTCCATGCAAACACCTGTGAGATGATATTGAATCACGTATGTGTCACTGTCCCTGTGTTTACGTATAACGTTACATGCCAATCCCAGACTAAGATGTTTGTCTATTTTTCTTATTGATCTACTGATAAACAGTCGTAATACACACACAATATTGCTTTGTTTACTCAATATATATACAATTTAATAAATAACAATGTCTAATTGAAGTCTGCGTTAACTTACCTGTTGGTATTCAACTAGTAAACACTCGATGTAAATAATCCCAAGAAAGCGGGGGCGGCCTCCGATAGTAAATCAGCTGATCGGCGAACACAAACTTCTAAAACTTAGGTCTGTCGGTAGGCACACAAACTGGACACGAACACACACATAAACAGTGTGTCCGTGCTCCTATATAGTCTCGCATTGATCAACTTGAATCCATCTTCGACTGAACACAATAAGAAAATATGTCCACACCAATTTAACGTAAGTTGCTCAGTTCAAAGTGTTTCAAATTTCGTTCACCCTCCCACGCAGGAAGCCATTTTGGAGGTGAATGCAATCAGATTGAAACCGAGCCGCAGATTCGTATTCTGTAAATTCCCCCTTCATTCCATCTCAAAATCAGATACAACAAATGAAGTCAAAACATTCGGCCCCTGACTTTAAAAGAAAATTATAAACATAAAATGTATATTGCCTGTGTTATGCTGGAAGCGCGGGCAAGATCGGTAATCGGAAGAAATCGATTGCTGCGGTAGCTTAGCGATGATTTACGTAATCCTTTGACGTCATACGGGATATCCCTAGGACTTTGCTATGGCGAAGTGTTGCCTATGAGGTACTTGTGTGGCAGTATTCGGTACCCTAATGACGAGAATTGGGGGTGTGCGCCTCATACGGTAGTCTGGTCTGTTTGTACTTGAAAATGGAGACAGCAGGTGTCCCCTTCTGGATATAAACATCTAGTAAAGTGCAATGGATACTGCGACGTTTGGATATGTACTTTGTATATAAGCATACATTGTACAATTTTGTACTAAAATAACCATTTTTGAACGTATAGATACTTGGTTTAAGATGTTTTATCACCGACTTGAACAAATGTGATAGAACAATAACGGAAAACGTCCTTAATACATGAAGGTTAGGCCTAGTCCAGCTGTACCAAAGTGACAATATCAGACCAAGTCTTGACTCTTAGGCCTATTATCACTGTAAACAGATTTAATCAAATTACATTTTCGTAAACTATATTGAATTGCTGCATCAATTAAACATTTGAGATGTAGGTATTTATAAAAAATTTCTATGGATAGTTGTCTGCTTCATTGCTAGAAATGTTTTATAATCTGGGCTATTCTGTGGTCAGGATATTAAAATATTTTTTCCGTGTCCACAGCACCCGATTTTTGTGAAATTTAACCGCTTGACCTATCATTTTTTTAAATCAATATCAAAATGACAAACAAAAAATGATACATTGGTGGGGTTTTTTTTATATAATAAACTATTATACTCTTACGATATACCACGGAATTAGATTCTAAGTCCGTGGATATACCACGGACTTCGATATCTAGTCTAATTCCATGGATATACAGACAATATCCTGACCACATGATTTGTCTGTAGCGCAAATTAAGCATATCATAAAGAAAACAAACATAATAAATACTAACTGACTTTCTACCCGGAATATATTGTATTCTTGTTCAACACTCATACAGAGAAGGTGCTATGATTCGCTGCCAAACCCGGACGTAAAGATCCCGTCCTAGCTATACCCGCCGGTATGCCGTAAAGGATGGACTGGCTCTTGCAAAATACACACCTGTTACTAAACCAAAATGATTGTCTCCAGAACCGATCTGATGATTCACACGTGACACTTTATTCTATAATTTTTGTGTGTGTGTTTAAATTCTATTTTTTATACAGGATTTTGGCCACGATTTTTAATATTTTACGGTCATTTGATGCAATAAAACGTGTAGTGACCGAGACCTCGTCTCACTGCATATTTTGAACTCAGTACGACGCACGTAATGTGTGACGACACAGTGGCACGACTTACCAGTATCCTGTTCATTACGTGTACCCATTCAGGGGCGGATCCAGGTTTCCTAAAAGGGGGGGGGGGGCTGAGATTTTGTTCTCAATAGTCAACGGTGTGCTGCGAAAGGCAGCAGCCCGAGCGCGTAGCGCGAGGAGGGGGAGGGTACAGACCCCCTCCCCGTAAGGGGGTTTTGGGGGATCTCCCCCCAAAAAAATGTGTTTTCTAGAACGTCTCAGAAGCGATTTCCCGTGTTCTGAGGATTGTTTTTATGTTTAATTAACAAGAAGAAAAAAACATATTTTAAGTATGGCCCAAAGACTTTTTTTGTGTACTGGAAAGAAAATTAAAGTTTCGGTTCAAATTCTCTATCAACAGCGTGTTTTAGAAGTCAGATGGTATTATTATAGGGGCAACCTGGTGATGACAAATGTATGAATCCACAGGGGACTTGTTCATTATTACATAATTTGGCGTCCCGCCCGCAAGGGGGTACGAGAGGTCCACCGTCAAAATATAAATCTAGTCTTCAGACATTGTACGTTTGTCGTACAAAAGAACAAATAACACCATAACATCGTTGCTGTTTAATTAATGAGTTACTCATGGCATCACTAAGTTGGTAAACAAACGGTAAGTTCAAATCAGTGCGACACCCAAGGCCACTAGCTATATACAGGGGCGCCTCTAGGATATTTGAAAGAGGGGGCGTAGAATAAATTCTGTCTTTTGGACCATTTTTTTGCTAAAAAAACATAAAATAATTGTGAAATGCACTAATGTAACGGTTCCTGACTTGGAGCATGTATATTTTATAGTTGAAGTGTCATGGTTTGACATATTTTTTTATCAGAGTATGTCTTAAATTAATGAATATGAGAAATTGCCATATTCAATACAATATTAGCAGATTACGATAAAAAGAAATCTACGCCCATTACGCCCTCACCTGGACCCGCCCCTGATATAGTCTCGCGTTTTATAATTGTTGACTAATTCACTAGTGTAGACAATGATATATCTGAAATGTCCACGCTGATTAACTCATTAAGGGCGTGCATATTACCAACGGTGGTACATTTGTTAAGCTATCTGGTTAAAATAGTACAACTTAGGAGGCACATACGCGTCATCTTTAAATTTAATTTAAAATTTTCATACTTGTAAGTACAGCCTATCATCTCATTCTGGTACGTACAACTTATTACTACGTACACAATAGTATGCTGTGTGAAGATACTTTTTTGTACGCACACGATGGTAAGCTATAAGTACCACAATGAGATATTATGTTGTACATACAAGATAGTTAAACAGTTCCAACAATATATATCATACCAAAATAATTGAATGGATATGTTTAATCGATTATACATAATATTGTCAGCCGAAAAAAACATTTATCGTTCTTGTATAATGATATGATTAGTATCGCCCGGGTGGTTAGGAAGGTTACAATAAAAAGTATTAATTTTCAGATCATCTATAACGAGCGGTCAATAATATAATTATGCAACTTATGCTAGTATATTTCCGCCAGGGTTGCAAGTTGCAACTTGGGGTTTTGCGGAGGTGGTAAAATAAAAAACACACTTTAGGGTCAAGATACAAAGTAGACGAGCGTAGCGATGCCAACAAATATTGTTTTAATAAAGAAAATATAGTAAAAATATCAGATAACGGAAACCCACAATATTTGCTAGGATGCCGTATGGGATGTGTGGG